CGGGCGAGCCGATGTTATGGTCCCACGTTCCAGTTGAATCCTCCTGGAGGCTGACTTGGTGTTGGGTCGGGGTCACTCCGCAGGGACCTGGCAGGTAGAGGATGAGGTGAAGCTGCTCATGCTTCCCAGCTGCCTGGGCCCAGCGCTGGAGCCAGAGAGCCAACAACGACACCACAGACTGTGTCACTGCTGCCGAGGCAACGATGAGGAGTCAGCAGAGTGCACGTGCTGGCCATGGCTGTGGCCAGTGACAGGGTACCATTGCTGGGCCAAGTCCCTACCCTCACCACCTCGTGCAGCAGGCTGTACCTCCAGCTGCACTCGCCATGGTGTTTAGGGCTGTCATGTATGACTTGCAGCAGAACACAAACATTCGGTCCATATTCAGCCTTTAGGCCGGGAGGTTAACCTGAGTAGTGTGCATGAAATGTTTTGAATGACGCTGGCTCGTGGGCAGCGTGCAAGGGGTATTCCCAGATGACCCCATCAGGAGCATTGCAGAGAGGCGAGAGCACTTGTGGAGATGGCATCCAGAAAGGTGGCGAAGGGTGAGCATCTGACCCAGGGACCCAACCCGGGATGCCTGCACCCCGACTGCTCCCCCGGGAGGCAGCAGGGGACGGCCCAGTGGTCAGGTACCTGTGACTCAGGCAGGAGACCCAGGTTGAGTCTTCTGATCTTAGCCTGACCTAGCCTCCCCCTCCCCCCCCAAATCACTCCCAAATGTCTACAGGAGCCAGAGGTGGGCCATCCTGAAGCCAGGAGACAGGAGCTTTCATCTGGGTCTCTCTCAGAGGTACTTGGTTTATCCTCTGCTGCTTTCTCAGATCATTTGTGGGGAACTAGATTGGAAGTGGAACAGCCAGAACTAGAAGCTGTGTCCTTATGGGATGCCAGTGCTTCAGATAGGGGATTAGCCTGTTGAGCTACCCTGTAGCCCCGCTCCCTCAGTAAACTTCTTTTAAAAAATGGTGAGCAGGGCCCGGCACGATAGCATAGTGGTTAAAATCCTCGCCTTGCATGCGCTGGGATCCCATATGGTTGCCAGTTCTAATCCCGGCGACCCCACTTCCCATCCAGCTCCCTGCTTGTGGCCTGGGAAAGCAGTGGAGGACTGCCCAAGGCCTTGGGATCCCGCACCTGCCTGGCTCCTTGTTGGGGGCACTGACCATTTCCTTCCCTGTGATTGGCCCTTTGCCCTGATTGGTGTGCCTTGGGTATCGTTAAGCTGATTGGACAGGTTTGACAGTTAAGGGGGGGGGCCTGGCGGGGGAGGGGCTGGAGCGTAATGGTCACAACGGAAGATCGGAATAAAGCGCCTTGGAGACTCTGTCAAGTGTCGGGTGATTTCTTCCGCGGGACGGGAGGACCCCCGATAGCTCCTGGCTTCGGATTGGCTCAGCTCCAGCCATTGCAGTCACTTCGGGAATGAACCATCAGACAAAAGATCTTCCTCTCTTTCCCTCCTCCTTTCTGTATATCCACCTTCCCAATAATAAGTAATTATTTTTTTAAAATATGAAAAAAAATGGTAAGCAAACTCCCTTTGGAGCTATTGCTGTGGCTTAACACGTTAAGCAGCTGCCTGCAACACAGGCTTTCCATTAGGAACCAATTCTAGTCTCAGCTGCTCTACTTCTTTTTTGTAAATTTGTTTATTATTTTTATTGGAAAGGCAGATATACAGAGAGGAAGCTCTTCCATCCAACTTCAGCCTGGCTCAGCCCTGGCTCTGCAGCCATCATGGTAGTGAACCAGAGCATGGAAGACTCTGCCTTTCAAATAAATTAAGCAAATCTTAAGAGAGAGAGGGGCTGGCATGCTCCTCTGCCATGATGCCAGTTTGAGTCCTGGCAGCTCCAGTTCAGTCAAGCTCCCTGCTAGTGACGCAAGAGAAGTAGCAGAAGGTGCTATCCATGTGAGAGCTGGAAGAAGCTCCTGGCTCCTGGCTCCCTCCTGGCCTGGCACTGGCTTTTATAGCTGTTTGAGGAGTGAGCCAGCAGATGGAAAATCTTTGTCTTTCTTTGTATCTCCACCTCTCTGTGTCACTCTGGTTTTGAAATAACGTAAAGGAAACCTCAAAAAAAAACCAAAATCTGGAATCATTGAGATGTGGCAGCAGAGGGGCTGAAAACGAGCCAGTGCAAGCTGCTTGCCGGGCTCCGTGTGCACAGCTTTCCCCTCGTGGGGGCTTAGTCACCACTTCATGCTCCCAGGACCTAAGGGTGTGTGTCTTGTCCTGGAGTGGGATGTGGCAGAGAGCGAGCTCAGATACCACACTCCTGGGCCTCCCGGCTCGCCTGCCCCGAGCTGCAGGCGGGGCGGGGCTGGTGAAAGACCGTGCAGTCGACATAAAGAGAGGTATTCTGTTTTTGTTTTTAACATTGATTTATTTGAAAGTCAGATTTATAGAGAGGGGAAAGCAGATCGAGGCGATCTTTTATCTGCTGATCCACTGCTTGGACAAGTGCAACAGCCAGCACGGAGCGAGGCCAAAGCCAAGAACCTAGAGCTTCTTCTGGGTCTCCATGGTGACAGCAGCTCCAGCGCGGAGCAGGGGCTGCATTGGAAGTGAAGCACCAGAGAACCAGCATCCACATGGGAGTGCCAGCTTGCAGGCAGTGGAGTTACCTGCTCTTAAAGAGGATTCAATGATTCATTTTAAGTTTATTTTATTTGAAAGGCAGGGTTAGACAGAAAGGAGAGTATTCAGAGATTCCATCCACTGGTTCAGTCTCCAGATTGCCACAAAGGCTGGGGCTGGTCTAGGTGGGAGCTGGGAGCTGCATTCAGCTGTCCCATGTGGGTGTAAGGGCCCAAGCACTAGCACCGTGTTCCGCTGCTTTCCTAGGCACGTTCGCCTAGGAAGGGAGCTAGAGTAGAAGCAGAGCAGCTGGAACTTGAACCGGCACCCTAATGATGGGCTTTGTCCACCATGCCTTGGCCCCAATGATGGGTTTTAACAGCCTGCTCAGCTCTCTCCTCGTGGCGCTGGATGCCTGCAGGAACTAACCTGGCGCTCTGTTTCATTTTCCCTGGGAAATATCGTAGGAGGCATTTATTCTTCCAGCTACCCAATCACTGGTCCCCAGGGAGTTGTGTAGGCATACGTACACAGGTGGCCTGGGCTCAGGGTTCCGGTCATTGTTGGGTGGACCAACAGCTTGTGGCAACTTAGCTGCATGAGTTAATAGTGTGTGATATTGGAGAGGCCCCTCTTCTGCTGGGCCCCCAGTTTATTCATGTGTAGGATGCGGACAGGAATCCTGTGGTCCAGAAAGGGTTTTCTGCTCAGCAGCGTGGCTCCAGGGAGACGGCCAGGCATTGAGGGCAATAATTATTCATTTCATTCGATGCTCACCCAACCCTGTGAGCCAGGTGTTGTTAGTACTATTGTGTCCATTTTTCAAATGAGAGCCAGAGATTCACACCCAGCAGTGCATTGCAGCAGGTCACACCAGCTGGGAAATGGTGCAGGCAAGAGGGAGCTGGGAGGCTTGGCAGCACAGGCTTCATGCTTCACCACATGCTGTGATGTCTCTCTGGACCACAACTATGGAAAGGAAATAGCAGGACCTGCCTCGTGTCCACTTGAAGAGGAGTTAGTACAAAGGGTCTAGACTGGAAAGAGCTGGTGGTTGGCAGGTGCTTGCTAAATATACGTTTACTAAGGGGAGACTTTAAAAGATGTTTGTTTCTTTAAGAGGAATAGTTCAGGGCCTGGTGTGGTAGCCTAGTGGCTAAAGCCTTGCCTTGCATGCTCCCGCATCTCATATTGGCTCTAGTTCTAGCCCCGGATGCTCCACTTCTCATCCAGCTCCCTGCTTGTGGCCTGGGAAAGCAGTCGAGAATGACCCAAAGCCTTGGCACCCTGCACCCATATGGGAGACCCAGAAGAAGCTCCTGGCTCCTGGCTTAGGGTTGGTTCAGCTCTGACCATTACAGCTACTTAGGGAGTAAACCAGCAGACGCAAGATCTTCCTCTCTGTCTCTCCATCTCTCCTCTCTGTGTATCTGCCTTAACAATAAAAATATGTAAACCTTAAAAAAAAAAAAAGACACATAGTTCACTCCCCCAAATGCCTGTAACAGCGGGGGCTGGGCCAGGCTGAAGCCAGGTGCTGGCAGCTCCGGTGCAGGTCTCCCATGTGGGCAGCAGGGCCTCCAGGGTGTGCATTCGCAGGAAACTGCGTGAGAGTGAACCTGGGCACTCTGGTGGAACACAGGCATCCCAAGCAGGGTTTCCACCACTGGGCCAAGCACTCCCCCCTAAGGGGGAACTTTATTAGGCAGACGCCAGAGCTTAGAGCTGCCCAGAAGTAGCGAGGGATCCCCTGGAGGAAGTGGATCCAAACCATGGGAGGAGGGGGCAGAGGAGCTCTGGAGTGCAGGCCCGCTCCCCTACTAACCCCCCTTCTTCAAATCCCAGAATTTAGTGGGAAAAGTGAACATACCCAGCTGAGGTAGAACAGAGCTGGGAGAGACGGAGGTCCAAAGTCAAGTGGGGTACAGGAAGAGCTTCCTGAGGCAGGCGGGGCTCTCAGGAAGCTTTGGCAACCAGGGAGGGTCTGGGAACTTGGTGGAGAGGTGGAAGTGAAAGTTGCTGAGCAGGGGCTGGGGAACGTCTCGGGGGTCCTTCAGGAAAGGTTCTGTGGGGGGCAGGTCCTCTGGGCTGCAGGTGCATCTCCGAGGCTGCAGCTCCTGTATCTCTCCGCCCGCCAGGACCTCCCTTGGTCAGCCAGGTCAGCTGCTGCTTCCTGCAGCCCTTTCCAGGAGCAAGAGCCATAAACCTTTCTCTGCATTTCTCCCAGCACGCTCCTTGGCTCAGCTGCCAGTTTCGCTCCTTCCTCCTTGCCCACCTCAGTGTCCTCACTTAGAGGTGTCCAGGTGAGGAGGCAGCCCTGCAGGCAAGTGCTGACCCCACTGCAGTCTCTGTTCGCAGGGCTGATGATGGAGACCAGGCCCTCAGCACATCTGGCTCCCCTCCCACAGCTGCAGCTGCTGAGTGAGCACTCCTTAAGTGGATCTGCCTTAATCCTCTTTCCTTTATCCTCTAGGGAGGATGAGCTGGTGTTAAGACTAATGCAGCGGCTAATCCTATTGCCGCCAGCCATGATCCCCAGGGAGTCACTAAGGGGAGTGGGTACTGGGCTCTGGACCAAGAAGTAGGGGACCTCAGCTAGAGCTGGGGACCATGCCTGGGAGGCTGCTCCCCACCAGGAAACACCCATGGGTTAGGAACCAGAAAGAGGCCTCTGCCAGCAGTGGCTCAGGCCACTTCACCAGCTCTATGGGAACTGGCCAACAGATTCCAGAGCTGAGGGTGGACCAAGATTCCTGTCTGGGGTGGAGTCCCAGCTGCACAAGGCAGGATTCTGGGTGAACAGTTGCTATCTCCCAGAGCTAACTCAACAGACAGGAAAGTCAATACTTAGATGCTAGGGACCTTTAGCTTCCAGACAGAGCCAAGCACATGAAGCCCACACCTAGGAGTCCTCTATGTCTGCAGCCTCGCAGGGACCCTGCGAGGTGAGATGCTGAGATGGAAGGAACCTAGGCCTTCTGGGAATAGCCGCGGCTTTTGAAAAATCTGAGAGCTTGGGGGAGTTTGGTAACCCCAACCCCTCTGATGTCAGCTGGCCCCAGTGCTTTCATCAGTGAACAAATCAGATGAGCACAGTGGGGGAGGCAGGATGGAGTTGGGGCCCCTGGTGGGTGCTGCTGCAGTCTAGAGGGGCAGTGCAGATGAGATGTGTTCTTTGGGTGACCCTGAAAGAGTGAGAAGGCGTGAAGGGATGTGGCTTCCAGCTGACTTTCCTTCTCTTGCAGAGAAGCCTTGCCCACCAAGGTCATGGAGGCAGAGGTGGCAGAGGCGGCTGAGGCGCGGTCTCCAACCCTGGGCTACAGGCGTGCAGGTCGTCGATACAAGTGCCTGTCCTGCACCAAGACATTTCCAAATGCTCCTAGGGCAGCGCGCCATGCTGCCACGCACGGGCCTGCAGACGATGCAGAGGAGGCTGCCGAGGTGAAGCCAAAGCCAGAAACAGAACCCAAGGCCGAGGAAGCCAGCGGGGACAAGGTGTCAGGCTCAGCGGCTAAGCCTCGACCCTATGCGTGCCCACTGTGTCCTAAAGCTTATAAGACAGCCCCTGAGCTGCGCAGCCACGGGCGCAGCCACACAGGTGAGAAGCCCTTCCCGTGCCCCGAGTGTGGCCGCCGCTTCATGCAGCCCGTGTGCCTGCGCGTGCACCTGGCCTCACATGCTGGCGAGCTGCCCTTCCGCTGTGCGCACTGCCCCAAGGCCTATGGAGCACTCTCTAAGCTCAAGATCCACCAGCGTGGCCACACGGGCGAGCGACCCTACACCTGCGCTGACTGCGGCAAGAGCTTCGCTGACCCCTCAGTGTTCCGCAAGCATCGGCGCACACATGCCGGCCTGAGGCCCTACAGCTGCGAACGCTGTGGCAAAGCCTACGCCGAGCTCAAGGACCTGCGCAACCACGAGAGGTAAGGGGTCCATAGGGCAGGAGGCGGGGAGCAGTAACCGATGGGGAGGTAGGCGGCACACCAATGTTCTATAAGGAGCTAGGCGCGTGAGGAGTGGCGGCCACTGGTTGGACAGGGGTGGAGCAAGGATGCTGCAGAGGGAACCGGGAGGAACAAGGTGGGACCTAGGACACCTGCTAACTGCACAGTTAGGGCTTTTGGCCCGTGCTAGACTTTGATGTGAAGAGAGGGGCCTACCCAGGGATGGAGAGTCCCCGTGGAAGGTGTCTTGCCCTGTGGCCCTTAGGGGACTGAGCTGAGGCCCCTAGAGGTGTGCAGAGTCCCTAACATCCTGCCCCTACACTGGCAGTGGCGGCAGCAGCTGCAGTTGTCAAGTGGTGGTCTGGTGCCTTCATGCCCAATCCTACACACTCCCACAGGTCTCACACTGGTGAGCGCCCGTTCCTGTGCTCCGAGTGCGGGAAGAGCTTCTCCCGCTCATCCTCGCTCACCTGCCACCAGCGCATCCATGCTGCGCATAAGCCCTATCGCTGCCCGGCCTGCGGCAAGGGCTTCACACAGCTCAGTTCCTACCAGAGCCATGAGCGCACACACTCGGGGGAGAAGCCCTTCCTGTGCCCGCGCTGTGGCCGCATGTTCTCTGACCCCTCAAGCTTCCGGCGCCACCAGCGCGCACACGAGGGCGTGAAGCCATACCGCTGCGAGAAGTGTGGCAAGGACTTCCGGCAGCCTGCAGACCTGGCCATGCACCGGCGTGTACACACGGGCGATCGGCCCTTTAAGTGCCTGCAGTGCGACAAGACGTTCGTCGCATCTTGGGACCTCAAGCGGCATGCACTGGTGCACTCGGGCCAGCGGCCCTTCCGCTGCGAGGAATGCGGGCGGGCCTTTGCCGAGCGTGCCAGCCTTACCAAGCACAGCCGCGTGCACTCCGGGGAGCGGCCCTTCCACTGTAACGCCTGCGGAAAGTCCTTCGTGGTGTCGTCGAGCCTGAGGAAGCACGAGCGGACCCATCGCAGCAGCGAGGCGGCAGCAGCAGCGGCCCCACCACAGGAGCTGGTGGTGGGGCTGGCACTGCCCATGGCCGTAGCGGGTGAGGGCCCTACCGCCCCTGCCCCAGCTGCGGGGATAGCGGAGCCTCCGGCTGGGCTGCTAGAGCTGCCCCCAGAGTCAGGAGGTGTGATGGCCACACAGTGGCAAGTGGTGGGCATGACAGTGGAGCAGGTGGAGCAAGTGGGATGCCCAGATGGCGGAGTCGGGGAGGCCCCGGGTCCCTTAGGAGGGTCCTGTGAGGCAGGGGGTGAAGAGGCTGAGGAGAAGCCACCACAGTTCACATGCCGTGAGTGCAAGGAGACCTTCGTGACGCTGACGCTGCTGCGGCGGCATGAGCGCTCCCACCCGGAGCTGCGGCCCTTCCCCTGCAGCCAGTGCGGCAAGAGCTTCTCCGACCGGGCTGGGCTGCGTAAGCACAGCCGCACACACAGCTCCGTGCGCCCCTACACCTGCCCCCACTGCCCCAAGGCCTTCCTGAGCGCCAGTGACCTGCGCAAGCATGAACGTACCCACCCTGTGCCCACTGAGACCCCTGCACCCTTAGAGCCCCTGGTGGCCTTGCTGGGAATGCCTGAGGAGGGGCCAGCCTGAAGTGCATGGACCTCTTTGTCCACCACGCTCCCAGGAGCCCAGCCCCACAGGGTGCCTCCACTCTCTTTGTGCCCCCAGGCAGACAGCCCACCTGTGCTACTATGGAGGGACCTAGTGGAAGCTGGCAGCCACAGCGCTCTCCTGGCCTCATCATTAAAGCTTTCTCTGGACACCCGCTAGTCTCCTGTATCCCGGTTGAGGGTGAGCAGGTGGGAAATCTGGGCATCAGGTGAGTTTCTTAGCGATGCCTGGACTGGCAGAAAGTACATACAGTGTCTGGGGAATGTCTTGTAACAGGGGTTCCATGGCCCAAGTGCAGATTACCTGTGTCCTTCTTGGGGACCCTGCAGTGAACAGACTGATTTAGCTGTGTACAGCCCAGTCTTAGCTGACCATGGAAACCACTTGACTGAGTAGTTCTGCTCCTATCCTTATCCTGGTCGTGCACGCTGCCACAAGAAACCAGAAAATATACTCCAAGGAAAAGGTTCCCAGTCAGAACACAACTACGCAGGAATACACCTTGTAAGAAATGTGTCGATTGTATGTGAAAGAAAATGGAGTATCAGAGATACCTTGCCTGAAATATAAGGGAGACCTGAGCTGGAAGATATATCAGTTGAAGATCCAGGACTCCAAGATCCAAAGTTCATATGCAGTGCATATTTTTAAAACCAGATGTGATGCTTCGTTTGATATCCTATGTCCACAAACATTTATGCCTTGACATGGAAACAGGAGTGTTACAAACCAACGATGTGAGAGGGGTCTGAACAGCCCTGGATACTTACGATAAGAATAGTCATCTTCATCCGTGGGACGTAATAGACTTTTAAAATAGCATTCCCTGGAAAGCTACACAGCTATCTAAAGTGATTTTTCAAAGATGAACCAAAAATGAAAACAGAAAAACTGAGGCTCTCCACTTAGTGTAAATTGACACAGCTTCTTGGAAGGATTATTTGATGATACTTTCCATGTAGCAGCCTTTTGACAAAGCTGAAGCCAGAATAAGGTCAAGTACAGCAAACTTGGGGTGACAAAGAAATAACGTCCATTAGGAGAGGACTGACTAAAACAGACCAGCCACTGTGAAGTGTACTCTGCAGCCACTTCTTTTTTTAATAAGGCCTATCTCTGTTGAAAATGTCAAAAAGAAAAATATACCAACAAGGGACAAAGCTATGTGGATTAGTAAGCTTCCCCTGGAACCAAATCACTCAAGTTTTCAAGTTCCTGTGGGGTATTTCTAGAATATTCAAGAGCTGAACCTAGGCTATAATTGCTATAATTTTCCAACTACTTGGCTTTCGCCTAAGCCAAAACTAAACCGAAGGTTAGCGGTCCAGAATCTCTGTTCCTGTCAGCACATGGGAGCCACTGGCTTGGCCGTAGCAGGAAGTGTCCAACACATGTCCAACCTCCAGCCCCACACACCAGTCATGGAGAACACTGCATCATAGACCAGAACTCGGTGGTCAGCACCAGCAGCCGATGTCCCCTGGCTGGCATGGACCTGGGGGTGGTTGTGCCCAGACCCAGAGAGACCAACTCTGAAAGAGGTCTTCACTCGGGTTCTGCATAGCAAGACGAGGCCCATACACATTGGCAAGGGCTGGATTACTGTGGATACAGCCAGAGGAATCCCTGCTCATCCCAACACTCAGAGCAGGGTGAGCACTGACCCCGGCCCCTGCCTGCCTAGGCAGGAACCAAGCTCTGCTGGTGTCAAGAAACAACTGTACTAGAGGGGGCTCCGAACAAAATGGTTTACCTTAGGGGGAAGCGGGGCATCCTGGAGAAGATCCCAGTGAAACTCTTTGGTATCCAGTTACAGTGAAGGACTCGGGGTGGCAGGATACTCAGACGGGATCAGACAACATGTCCCTTGGTCTCTGTGGACATTCCAGGAAGGCCACATGCCAGTCGACACTGAGAACCCACACTCCTTGGTAGGTCACGTCTCACATCCTGTACAGTCGGCCCATTGGAAGAACACACACAGTTCCTCAGTTCCAGTCATCTCCATGTAATTTTGGCACATTTTCACTCTGTGTTTCTCCCCTGCCCTAACCACACAGCTTGGGTCAGTCACTGTTCTATTTCCTGTCTGAGGACTTCTAAAATAAGTGCAATCATATAAGGTATGATTTGTGTCTAGACTGTTACTTGGCATCATGTTTCAGGGTCATTCATTTTGCTAGCTTTAAGCAGGACATTGTTACTTTTATTACCAAATAAAACTCCAGGGCCCAGCATGGTGGCCTAGTGGCTAAAGTCCTCGCCTTGAACACGCCAGATCCCATATGGTTGCCGGTTCTAATCCCAATGGCCCTGCTTCCTATCCAGCTCCCTGCTTGTGGCCTGGGAAAGCAGAGAAAGATGCGTGGAGAGACCCAGAAGGGCTCCTGGCTTCAGATCATGTACCGGCCATTGTCACTTGGGGAGTGAATCATCAGACAGATCTTTCTCTATGTCTTTCCTCTCTGTATTATCTGACTTTGCAATAAAAATAAATAAATCTTAAAAAAAAAAAACATTTTGTTTACTCATTAGTTGGTAGACATGGGAGATGATTCCATTTTGGTCTATGTATACTACTAGCAACATTCAGATACAAACGTGTGCGGACTTGCTTCTTTAGTTCTCTGGTATATTTAGGCTCCAAGATTAGAATGGCTAGGCAGTTGCAGACCACTGGGGAAACAGGCTGTTTTTTCCAAACAGGCTACACCATCTTCCGTCCCACCAGCAGGGTGTGAATGTAAGGTTTGTCTGCAGTCATCCTAGAATGTGTGACTTTTGAAGCCATGGTTCACATTTCGTTGGTGGCAAATGATGAGGAGTAGCATTTCATGTGCTCCTTGGCCTTTCGTGTGAGGTCTTTGGAAAAATGCCTGTGAGTTCTTTGCCTGTTTTTAAGTTTGGTTCTCTTTCTTGCTGTTGAATGATAAGATCCGTCTATATATACAGATTCCAGGCTCCTCATGAGTTGCCAGTTTCTGCCATTGTATGAATTGTCTTTTGACTATTCGATGGTGCTGTTTAAAAATAAGTGTTTTGTTATGATGCTGTCCAGTTTATTTTATTTTATTTCCTGTGCTGGGGGTGCCATATTTAAGAAAACCATTTTCTAATTTAAAGGCATGAAAATGTATGTGTATGTTTTCATCTGAAAGTTTCATAGCTGAAAGTGTTACGAGCATTCATAAAGTTTATAACCCAGTTATAATCTCGTAAAAGTTTTAATAAACCATGAAAGGGTATATAGCTAAAAACTCTGACATTTAGGTCTTTGATCCATTTTGGGTTAAAAATTTGTATATGATTTGAGGTGGGCGGCAGGGCTGGGGGTGGTTTAACTTCACTCTCGCATGTGGGTTTTCAATTGCCCCAGTTATATTTGTTGAAAAGACTCTTCTTTATACACTAAATTGTCTTGATACCCCTGTTGAAAATAAACTGTAAATATGAGGAGTTTTATCTGGACTCTCAATTTTTGTTAAATGTTTATTTATCCATTTGGAAGGCAGAGTTACAGAGAGAGAGAGAAGTTCTTCCATCTGCTGGTTCACTCCCCAGATGGCTACAGTGGCTGGAGTTAGGCTAATCCGGAGTCAGGAACCAGGAGTTTCTTCCAGGTCTCCCAAGTGCCAGGGAATAAAGACGTGGGTCATGCTGCTTCCCTAGGTGCATTAACAGGGAGCTAGATGAGAAGTAAAGCAGCCTAGACTTGAACCAGTACCTGTATGAAATGCTGTTGACACAGGTGGCAACTTTACCCGCTACACCACAACGTCAATCCCTAGATTCACAATTTCTTTTTTTTTTTTTTTTTATCAATTGGTTTGTTTCTTTTAAGATTGATTTGTTTCTTTTGAAAGATCAATTTATAGAGAGAGATCTTCCATCCACTGGTTCACTCCCCAAGTGACAGAAACAGTGGAGCTGAGCTGATCCAAAACCAGGACCCAGCAAGTTTCCCCTGGATCTCCCATGTGGGTGCTGGGCCCAAGGACTTGAGCTGCCCTTCACTGCTTTTCCAGGCCGTGAGCAGGGAGCTGGAGTGGAAGTGGAGCGGCCAGGACTAGAACTAGTGCCCATATGCAATGCCAATGTTGTAAGGCAGAGGATTAGCCTTACTGAGGCACTGCACCGGCTCCTCAAAAAATAAAGTTTTCTGATTTATTTCCAAGACAGGCAGATATTCCGTGACTCCCCCCACCCCCATGCCTTCAATAGCCAGGGCTAAAACTCAGTCCGGGTCTCCCACATGGGTGGCATGGGCCCGAGGTCTTTGAGCTATCCCTTGCTGCCTTCCAAGATGCACATTAGCAGGAAGCGGGATTGGAAGCAGAGCCAGGACTCCAACCCAGGAACTCAGGGGACGTGGGCACCAGCCATCTGCCTGTGCATGCTCCATTTTCTCCTGCCTGTCTTGATGCCAGCACCACAGTTTCCATTGTTGTATCTTTGAAGTAAGATTTGAAACCAGGACCTCCAAGTTGTTCTACTTCAAAATTATTTTTCAGGATTCCTCACCTCTCTATGGAAATTTGAGGATCAACTTGTTAACTTTTACTGCACTCCCCCACCCCACGCGCACAGAACGCTCACTGAGGTTTTGATGGCTCTAGTGTTCAGTCCTTTGATCGGTTTGAGGGCGATCACCATCCTAACAGTGTTAAACTGACACAGACACAAGAAGGCTTTTTCATTTGGATAGTTTTAGTTTTGTTTTTTTTTTTCAATAATGTTTCAGTTGTCAGAGTAAAAATCTTATACTACTTTCATCCAGTTCTTAGCTAAATATTTTGCTTCTTTTGTTACTGTTATCATAAGTGGATTATTTAAATTTTCAGATTATTCCTTGCTAGTGATGGGAAATACAATGTACGAGTTTTACACATGACTGTTCCACGGCCTTGCTGAGGTCAGTTTTTTGTTGTTATTTAGGATTTCTTTTGCTGGAAAGGCAGATTTACTGAGAGAAGGAGAGACAGAGAGGAAGATTTTCCATCCACTGGTTCACTCCCCAAGTGGCCACAACGGCCAGAGCTGAGCTGAACTGAGCTGAAACCAGGAGCCAGGAGCTTCTTCCAGGCCTCCCAGGTGGGTGCAAGGGTCCAAAGCTTTGGGCCATCCTCTATTGCCTTCCCAGGCCACAAGCAGAGAGCTGAATGGGAAGTGCGGCAGCCAGGATACAAACTGGTACCAACATGGGATCCCGACCCTTGTAAGGCGAGGATTTAGCTATTGAGCCATCATGCCGGGCCCAGCTCTGATGGCTTCTTTGATGGGCAGCAGAGTGTGTATCCTGAGGATTTGCTATACATGGTCATACTATACTTCCCTCCCTTTCCCATCTAGATGCTTTTTATTTGTTCTTTTTTACCTTCAATTTTTAAAAATTTATTTATTTGAAAGCGTTACAGAAAGACAAGGAGAGACAGAGACCTTCCATCTGCTGGTTCACTCCTCAAATGGCCACATTGGGCAGGGCAGGGCCAGGTCAAAGCCAGGAATTGAAATTCCAGCCAAGTCTCCCACATGGGTGGCGGTTAGGCAAACACTGGCACTATTAACTGCTTTCCAAGGAACATTTGCAGGGGCTCTGTCAGAAGCAGAGCAGGCAGAAGTAGACCCGGTGCTCCTACAGGGTGCCAACATCCTAGACAGCAGCTCCATTTGCTGGGCCACAGCCCTGACCCGTTGTTATGCTTTTGTTCTGTGGAGAGTCCCCAGGCAGTCTGCTTTCCAGCCTTCTCTTCTCTACCTTCTCTGCCCTACCTTCTCCCCTCCCTAGGTCATCCTAAGTAGTGAATGCAAAGCCTTTGGCACTGCTGAGACAATCGCTGGCACCATTCCGGAGTCCGTGCAGTGAATTGCAGCTGTTATCCCGGGACAGCCAAAGCACTGGAGTATTGGGGCTTGGTGGCCAGGGCTGTGACAGAGATCAGGAAAGGTCGTGAGCTTTAGCAGGGTATCCATCCACCCAGAGCTCCACCCAGCAGGAACAACCCCACACACAGTAGGGGGAAGTAGGAGGGGAGCTGCCTTCCCTTCTATGCCTACCCTGGCCTTGGCCTCATCTCAGACCCACTCTGTTGCTCTTGACCTGATCCCCCTGCCCTAGGTCTGCCTAGGACGCTCTTTCTGTCTGTCAGTGTCACCACAGTAGGTCTCTGTGGCTGCACAGTCATTTATGACAAATGCAGGTGCTCAATCCTAGCCCATTTAGAATCTCACAGCCCTGCAGCTCCGAAGTCCCACAGTCCCACAGACACGGCCCCGTACTGCCTGGATCTCAGGCTGGTGTCTAGAGGCTCGAGCATGCAGTTCAACTCCAGGCCCACCCAGGCGATCAGCAGGTTGCAGCAGGTCCCTAGCGTCCCTGTTTCTTTGCTTGCCATCAGCAAGCAGCTGTGCTCAGCTCTCAAGGGCCACCCACTTGGCTGGGTGCTCCTCTGTCTCAGGAGCTGGCAGTGGCTGC